ATCTGGCCTTAACTAAGGTAAATTCTGATTATGCTCAGTACATAATTCCAACCCCTCTGTTTTAAATAATGCCCATTGACAGATGAATGGATAAAGAAGATGTGGCATATATATACATCTACACCGTGGAATATTATTCAGCCATTAAAAGGAATGAAATCATGTCATTTTGAGCAACATGGAGGGACCTAGAGATGATTATATTAAGTGCAGTAAGTCAGACAGAGAAAGACAAATATCATATGATATCACTTATATGTGGAATCTAAAACAAAATGATACAAATGAACTTATTTACAAAACAGAAACAGACTCACAGATGTAGTAAACAAATTTATGGTTACCAAAGGAGAAAGGGGGGGAGGGATAAATTAGGAGTTTGGGATTAACAGATATAAAATAGATTAACAAGGGCCTACAGTATAGCACAAGGAACTATATTCAGTATCTTACAATAACCTATAACCAAAAAGAATCTGATAAAGAATAGATTATATATATATATATATACATATATATATATATATGTATAATTGAATCACTTTGATCTACACCTGGAAACACTGTCAATCGACTACACTTCAATTAAAAAATGAAAAAAAATGAAAAAATAAATAGAAGCTCCTTAAAGAAGCCAGACCACATTTTAATTGGTTTGTAGTAATATCTTCACCCAGGTAATGTAAGGGCTTGCTTTCTGAACTTTTGGAAACATCTACAATTGAACTCATTTTTATTTTGGTAAGGCAGTTAAAGAGCAAACAGTATTTTTATCAGTGTGAGTTCATTCATTTCCCCTACGCTCTGGTGGTCAGCTGACTCGCTGCACTAACACTTTCATGTTGGTCATGTTTACCCTGTTTGTTGCCATGGGTTTGATCTCAATGCTAGTGTAGTCTGTTTCTAGGTCCGCCTGGGTAACCCAGAGACCATCCATCTTCTCCTAAAGAAAGGGAGGTGTGTCTCTCTCAGAGACGGACGGTGGTCCTACAGCCGTGTCACATCCACCAGCCCGCTCAGCTCTGCGTGCGTGCGTATACTGACTAACTCTTAATAGAAAATCTTCATTATTAAATATGAGTCATTGCCCTTCCTGTTGTTCTGGTGAAATTCTTGTTATGCGTCTCTCTCGACAAGATGAAGGTGCCAACTTAAATGCTGGCATCTGAGTAAAACTCCTGTAATCGTTTCAGCTGGAGAAGAGGGAAGGGAAACATCACATCTTTTTGGCTCTACTATTCGGCCTTACAGAATCACAGAGCTGGGATGGACAGACACGTGGTAGTCTGAAAGTGTAGGAAATCCATAAGGGCTGTAAATAGTCTAGTGGTACTGTTTTAAGTGCTTAGGGCCACAAAGAACAGTCAATCCATAGAATTCTACAGTCCTGCCAGTTTGTCGGTGTGTCACGGTCCCTCCACTAGCCGTGAGTGGACTTCCTGGGGTGGGCAAAGGGATGAGTCCCCTTCCGCAATGATGGTCCTGCCGGGGAAGAAAGCAGTTTCTCCAGGCGGACCACAGAATGACTGGGAAGACACCTGAAGTCCCCATTCCAATCGTCCTGCAGAGGAAGGGAATTATTTTTCACCTCCCTTTCCTCTCTGCCTCTTTCTTTATCCCTGACTAGATCTCTGCTGCATTCTTGCTTAGAATGACTCCCCATTCAGTCGGAAGAAATTTATTTTTTTTTTCAGTCATTAAATATATATTCAGGGAATATATCATGCAGTTACATTTGTGTTACAAAGATCCCATCTAATGTCAGAGGTAATTGAAATACTTCACTTTAAAGAAACTTTCTAAAATTGTATGAGAAGTCATGGTTTTTTTCACCCTGATAATAACTGCACTGTAATTGAGGAGCAGATTAGAACCACGAGTGCACACGGTCCAACACGAAGAGCCGCCGCGCGCTCGCTGCAGCGCCCCCAGCACCGCGCCGCTGGCTGGCACGCGTCTGCCTACGCGGGTCGGCTCCGGGGACGCGGGACGCCAGGCTGTCTGCTTCCACGAGCATCGCACGCTTGGGCACCTGAAGGGTTACCTCGTGCAGGCTCTTAGGGATTTAGCCACTGGACAGGGCGCTCCCATCTGCTGGAGCGCATGTCTCAGTCGTTCACGGCAGTCCTCGGAGGGCGTGGGGGACAACAGGAGCCCTTCCCGCCTCCTCTGCCTCCAGGGAGGCCAGCTGAAACCTGCTCTCAGCGCTGGCCTTCCGAGTTGATTTAAACTGCCTCAGTGTGGAGATGGGGGAAAGTACCTTTCTCAGTGTTTTTCTTCTCTGTCTTCAGTTTTGGGGGTTTTTTTTCAGTTTTTTTTGTTTGTTTGTTTGTTTTCAGTTTACTTTCAAAGATTACACCATCCCAGGTTACCTCCTGATTTGTTCTTCCTCGTAATGTTTCCTCTTCCACTGGTAATAATTCTTTCTTCACGGTGGATGGGGGGCTCACCACAAAAGACTGGATAAGACTGTCTCTAAAAGAGAAGGTTAAGGGGGCGGGTACAGCTCAGTGGTACAGCGGGCGCTTGGCACGCACAAGGTCCTGGGGATTGAACCTAGGACCTCCACTGACATAAATAAATAAACCTAATTACTGCCCCCCCAAAAAAAACCAGACGCACACATAAAGAAGATAAGAAAGTACCATTGAATTTATAGTCTAAAGACAGGTTGGGTCATGTAATTTGGCGGAAATTTTTGCCTACTTAGCACCCAAAAGAATTTTGAAAAACTATATATCCCTTCACACCATGTTAAGTTGCTACTTCAGAAAATTCTGTCATAACTGAAATAGCTGTAAAGAGAATAATTTTCAGATCAGTAAATAATTAGAGTTTTAAAAATAAGTCAACTAAAATTTAGATACCTGTTTTTAAATTTACCTAATGAAATTTAAACACTGTAATGATTTTATATCTTGGATACAAATTAAAATAAATGACTTTATAGCCTGGATCAGCCACTGAAAAGGACATGTGAACAAGCTCAGCTAACAGCTGGCTATTTTATATGACATTTTTCTTTCTTCTTGAATGTAAATTTCACTCCGTTTCTCCCACTGAGTTTAACGTTGGTGTAAATGTTTTTATTCCTGAAAATGCTTTGTGGATCATCATGTTTTTTCACTCCAGGAAAAATGTGGGCCAAAACTTATATGACCATAAAACTCGAGGGATTAAACATTTCTCCTGGATTGGTTTTTTATTGGGATTATTCATCGATACAGAATTAATCAAGCAACATAAATACAGAATATGTTTATCAAACAATAGAAATACAAGTGCAACATAAACACCAGAGTTAAGCAAGCTGCTAACGTCTGGAGCCTCTGGACCTGGGGTGGTCCATGACCCTTCAGAGACGTCCTCAGTGGGGACAGGGCTGCTTTGTCTGGCTGTGGGCGCTTCACAGAGACAGACTCAGCAGTGATCAGTCAAAACTCATTCTCCTGACAGTCGTGCGAGTGAACACCACGGTCCTGGAAGGAGGGCTTGGGAGTGGGACACAGGTCACCTCATACAACGGTCTCCTCAATTAATGCGTAAAAGCACGTAGGACGGCACCCAGTGTACCACATTTGATAAATTATTAGGAAGTTATTATACCATTAATAAGCTCTGTGTATTGATAACCTGTTATTCACTTTTGCAGACTAAATAGAATATATTATTAAATTACCAATAAGTTAAGACCTCTAGCATTAGTGAAGTCTCAAGATTAACATATTGGAAAAGCAGAACCTAAATAATTGACTAATACATTTGAATAACCAAGATAATGTTCTTCTGTTCCTGAAAAAGAAAACTCAGGTCTTATTATTTGTTAATTATTTACATAACTGCACAGTTTCCGTAGGAGAACTTTTTTTTTTTAATTTGGGAGTAAAGTTAAAACCACTTCTCTTCCCAAGAGCGAGCAGTGTTGTAGCTCTCATTAAGTGGTCCCTTCCCGCCAAGTCCTACATCCCCTCCCTTCCGCTCTGCTCCCCGCCAGAAGCACAGATTCTGTGAGTTTTCATTTATTTTAAGCCAAAGCATAGGAGAAAATTAAAGTCTTTCCAAATTCTACTTAACTATTCCTAATATTTATGTAAAAAAAGAGATGAAAATGTCAAACATACTCTTTGGATGAGAGCATGTAAGTTGTTAAGGAAAGTATTTCATATTAAAATTATTGTCCTTGAATCACATAGAATCGCTCTTCAAAAATGAGTTAAAGATGTTGAAATCTATTGTTTGTTAAATTTGTTTGCATAAATCTGCCTTTTACTCTGAGAAGATAAGGATAGGATTTGATTTATTGAACTGTTGCTTGTATTCAACAAATAGCATACTTTATTTGAACCACACTTTTAAACATATTTTGGAATTGCTAGCTTATACTATAAAAACTCTCATTAAAAAATATAAAATAATATATATATTATCTGAACTAAGGCATTTTCCAGCTAGTTTAAGAATGAATCGTAGTCTAAGAGTGAGTTGTTTGTTAAAACAACAAGAAATCTATCTCAGGATAATAATCACATAAAATTTCGTCTCTTAGAAGTGAAAGAATAGCTAGAAACAGCGAATTTTTTAGAAATATTTAAACATTAATAAAATAGTCATACAATTTACTTCTAAACTCTGAAGACTGGTTTAGAACTTTTATTTTTAGCAGGAATTGCAAAACTCAACTCAACTTGACATTTCTAATTTTAAAACATGCAGAAAATAAAAAAATGGAGAGCATGAATTACTATTTTTTTAAACATTTGAAAATCCTATGTATTATTTCTGTATTTTGAGGAATAAGGTTAAATCTACTTCCTGCATTTTATTATGTGCAACTGTATCAAGAGCTCATTTTGGCATTCTAATTTTGAAATAAATTTAAAAATAAAGACCTTAGTGTTGAAACACAACTATCTTCCTTTTCAAATTTTTTTTAAAACAAGGGCCGCTGCACTCCTTCCTCTACCAAACGCACCCTAAGTCCTGGGAAAGGATGACGCGGTGAGGCCGCGCTTCCGGTCTGCTCAGCCAGGGGCGCTGCCACCCCCCTGTGGTCCACGAGGAAGGCCTGGAGGCTCTTTGGTTTTATGCTGCTGTGAAGTGTTTGTTTGTTTGTTTTGCAAAACTGTTGCAGCAGAAGACTCGGTCACCCGCCCTGGCACGCACAGTGAGCGGGTCCTGACAAACGCCCCCTGTGGCCACACGCCTGGACAGGGAGCCTGACGGCGCCTCTGCTGGGAGAGCGGGTTGTCAGAAAGCCGCTGTGCCCGCTTGCAAAGACGGGTCGGTGCGTTAGAATTTCATGTATAATGTATTGTGCGTTGTAATTT